GTAATTTTGTTTATCCATGAAGCAAAGTCTAGCAAATGAATGTAATTTTTCACTGACAGAAAACTATTATTATTTAAATTGGTTTTAACTTCAAAGCCACTTAGATCCATTTTCCTAACTATCTATAATTTTTTTTTTTCATTTCAGGGATCCTCATGGGATTTCAACAAAGAAGGACAAGGTTTTATCCATTGTCATGATTTTTCTTGCTGTGTTCTCAAATGTAGTGGCTATATACAGTAATGCTGAATCTTTGTTCGGAAAACGTGTGGATCCTCAGCAATGAGTTATGAGTTTCCTATTTTATCGGTAACCAAACTCATCAAGTTGAAATACACACTCTTAACCATCGAAAATACACCAATCCTTGATAGTTCAGTAGGTCAAATTGAATGTGTGGATTATTTAGAAGTTGGTTTGAAAAATCACTGAACTTTTTCAAGGTTCATAACATTTGAAAAGGTTTTGGAAATACAAGTGGATTTGGAATATTTGATCAAATTGCAAGCAGAAATGGAAGACTGTCTCAAATAAGGAATATTTAGTTGTACTTTAATATTTTCCATATTTCTCAAAGCACTGTCTCTAAACCAATCTACTATGGCTTCTTTTCCGGATGTTTTTTTCAAGTTATTCTTGAATAATAAATATTAATAATGGTATACTATAGTTGCCTTAAATTTTTCAGAAATCATATTATAAAACCTTCCATTATTGAATCATCTCTGTTTTTAGTGATGATAAGATTTCTTTTTATAAATGCTGTCGTGTAGCTTTCCTAACAAATTGTGAAGATTATTTAGGTAATTATAGGTGTAAAATCATTCAAGATTTGTAGCCAACAAATCTGCACTAATGATAACAAATATTCTCCTTGATAATACAAAATGAGTCATTTATATATTGAAGTCATATAAGAACTTTAGTTGTAGATGTCACATTGCCTTTTTTTTTTATAATTAATCTAATTTTCCGATCACATTTATAAATTAATCGTCATTATCCTATATCTTAAACAACGATAATTAATAAGAAGATTGTTGTGTACACGTGTGATGATAATTGTCCTCATAACATGCTATGTGTGTTATTTTCTTATTATATAATAAAAGGTAATTATTATAATAGTTATTAAAATAAAAAATATTATTAAATTGATTTTCATAAAAAAGTAATCATAAAAATAAATAATATTTCTTCTGTATTAATTTTTTTTATTGTGATAACAAAAACAAAATTAGTGTAGATATTAAAATAAACTTTTTTATTAAATTTTGTAAAAAATGATATTCATAAAAATATTTATGAAATAAATTATTTTGTTATAGGTACTTTTTTTTGTACGTGGTTAATTGAATTTAAAAAGACCGCTACAAAACAAAAAAGGTAAAATAATAAAATAAATTATATGGATAAGGGTATAATTGATAATGAAGCAAGATTAAGCAACCTGGTTAGTACACGATTATCACCAATACTTTAGTTATGATATTTTAATCATTTATTTTTACTTCTTTAGTTTTCTTAAGGCCATATTGTAAAGTTTGTTCAATTGCAAAAAATTTCCATGAAATTGATTCATTTTCTTATATTATGTAATACTTTCTATGTAAAATGAATATTTTACTTTTAAATATATTTTTATCTATTTATTTATCATGACACATTATAGTTTTACACTATAAATAAAAGATAGATACAATGATAATTGTTTCGGTTGTGAGATCAAGATTAATTATTTAGTTTTTGGCATGTAGTTCTAAGTTCAAATTATATTCAGTAAGAAGAGTTCTCATATGTATAAATTGTTCAGATGATACTAATAGAAAGTACTTTAATGTCAAAGTCATATCAACTTAGACAAAGAACAGTGAATATTGTGATTAATGTGTAACCGACTTTCTTACCTTTATTTATAGATTTTGGGGATAGACTTTTAATTAAGGTCAGCTTAGTTACAAGCCCAGACGTGAATAATCATATTTTAACCTTGAGTTATTTGGTTTTGGAGATGAATTGCAGCTTGATTTGTTAGATAACTGTCTGAATTTAGTGACTTGTCATCAGGGTGTTTGGTTGAACATTCAGACTCGAGATTTGTTATTGACTTGATGGTTGACTCTCTGAGTTGTAGTTCATCAGACTGTGATAATCGAAATTATAGTTAACCAAACGATCATACGATCATTAAGTTTCTAATGCAAAATAACACTTGTCATATTAAACAAATGAAAAATATATTTAAAATAAGATATTATTGACTATTTGACCTAAGATTTATATATATATATATATATATATATATATATATATATATATAAAATACATATTAGTTGTATTATTTAAAATAAAGATAACATTTTTCATAGTAAGAACTAAAACAAATCTAAGAAAACTGAACATGTGCTTTTGAAGTAAAATATTGGCAATACGATTGAACAAAAGTTTACATTCTACATTGTAACACTATGCAAAATTGTAGACGAAGAAAAGCAAATGTGTAAAGTATTATTATTAAAAAACTATGGTATAAAAGGGGAAGTCTAGATAAATTATTAAGATAAAAATGCACTAATCACTTTAATAATACTCACATGTGTATTACTTGATCCTAATTCATTATTATGCTTTATAATCATCTAATCAATTATAATTTGGACGGTCAATCATCAAGCCAATGACAAATCTCGAGTTCAGCTGATAAACCAAACGTTTCGATGATAAGTCACTAAGTCCATATGGTTATTTAACAAACTGAGTGATAATTCATCATATTGTTTGAACATAATCAAAGTAAATCAATCCTAAAACCGATTAACTTAAGATTAAAGCATGATTATTTACGTTAGGTCGTAATTAAGTCTTAATCAAAAGTTTATAATAAAATATATAAATAAAAGTTTGCAATAACAAAAAAGATTATACATTAATTATAACATTCACTCTGTCTAAGTTGATTTAACTTTGAAATTAAAATACCTTTTACATATACAATCGGAATAGTTTGAACACACACAAAATCCCTTTAACCAATCAAAATTTGGACTCGAAACATCAAAAACCAAACAATTGACCTTGACGAAACACTTATCATCAAGTTATGTGACAGGTTTTTAGTTATGTATGATTACTTCTATTTTAAATTATTATTTTTCCTAATTATTAGAAAAATATAGAAATACTAAATAGATTCCAATAAATGAATAATAGTGTTTGAAATTTGTCAAATATAGATGGAATGGTGAAATTTCAATTGTCTACATAAGTGTTTTATATTAAATACGCTGTGTTCTTATAGTGAAAAAAAGTTACTTCCACATGTTACTAATTATCATGAGTTGTTTGAAACCATGACTATTGCTGAAGATTTTATGACAGATATGGGATCCTAGAAGGTCAATGGTTGATTTAAATTATTAATGATATTGCTGATGAAGGCAGTTCATAAGGTTAATCTTGTGTAAAATCAGATTAAATTTTTATTTACCTTAGGCACCAATTAAGTTTTCGATTTCTCATTGTTGATTATCACAAGCTTATATTGCTTTTTCTTTGTACTGCAGTTATGTTGCAACTGCATTGATTAGTTCATGAAATGGAAAATGGTTTCAATATATAGTCTTTCAACAAACACAATGGATTTATGTCATCTGACTCTTATCACTCTAAAATGATTTAACTTCATCTATATTAATTATATGTGTAATATATATATATTTACAATTTTCCAATGTCCTATTGGAAGATATTTTAGAATCACCCCAAGAGGAAATAAAATTCATTACCTTTTATGCTAAGTCATTTTTCTGTAATTGCTTTATACTACACCTAGTAAATTACATATTAAATATATTTTTTGTTGAAGGACTATACAGAAAAAAACTACAACAAAATGCAACAAAAAACATAGTTAAGCTGAAAATAAATTATAAACACATAAGTATATTTATATTTCTAGAAAAATATAATATTGAAAGTACATTATTGAATAAATAATAAGAATATGTAAATAATAAGATGTTTTTAGTTGATAATTATAAGTGTTTGGTGAAGTAATTAATAAATGTAAATACATAAAGATCATAACTTCAGTTATATAGAAACTAGTTAAGCTAAAGCAGTTTGGAATGTATAAGTTAGAAGTTTCTAAAATAAATTATTTTAAAATATCAACACATAAAATATATATTGAATAAAAAATAAGAATAACATGTGCAATTAATCTGTGTTAATATATTGTTTATTTAAGCTAGAGATCTAAAAATAACATAATTAATGTTCTTTTAATGTTAAACAAGTTGATTAAAATATAGTTTGTAATTGATTTTCTTAAAATAGGTTATTTTAAAATAATTTGTAAGTTAAATGTTTTTAAAATAATTTATTTTAGAAACTTCTAACTTATACATTCCAAACTGCTTTAACTTAACTAGTTTCTAGCTTATATAACTGAAGTTATGATTCTTACGTATTTACATTTATTAATTACTTCACCAAACACTTATAATTATCAACTAAAAATATCTTATCCTTTACAAATTAATTTACCAACTAGTTTTATCAAATAGAACACTTGTTATAACATATTATTAACCTTAATTTTAACAACGACAATTCAATCATGACTAAGATTCTTTTATATAACATAACTTACAGTACATCGTACTTAGTCTACTGAAAAAAACTATTTTGGCCAATAAATGACATTATTTACAAAAAAAAAAATGTTAATAACACGTTATGTTACGAATTTGAAAATAATAATTTCTTTTATATATATTCTTTTCATTTTAAAAATAAGTAATTTTTTGTTTATTTTAATGAATAAAGTTGATCTGTTTTAAATAAATAATTATTTATTTTAAATTTAAATAAGCTGATCCACAATTAGAAACAATAGAAATTATACTTTAATATTTCATATTATGTTTTATTTTATCAAGATCCATTTTTCTGTTAACATTTATCAATATATTAACAAAATTACTAGTTTCCGAGTCGGGTAGAAACTCAACTGAGTTGATCCGGGTTTGTCATGACACTATCGCTCTTCTCCCTCGTCTTTACGCATCACTCTACGAAGAACTCTTGCTCTCGTCTCTTTCTGACTCTCCTTGTCGATTCATCTTTGCTGCGACGTTGGTGTTCGTTTGTTTTGTTGATTATGGATTTGTGAGTGTTGAGTTAAGGTGCTGTGTGTTAATGGAATCTGCAATTCGAATCAGGTGAGCTTTTTGTTAACAATGGCTGCGGAAGACAAGTGGTGCGTGGTGACCGGAGGGAGGGGTTTTGCCGCTCGGCATCTGGTGGAAATGTTAATCCGGCAAAACGAATATTGCGTTCGCATCGCCGATTTGGAAGACAGCATTGTTCTCGAGCCCCCCGAACAGTTGGGGCTTCTCGGCCAGGCCTTGAACTCCGGCCGGGCCCAATACGTCTCCCTCGATCTTCGCAACAAGGCCCAAGTCCTAAAAGGTGATAAACCTCTTCTTTTCTCTCTCAATTGTAGCAACATTTGCACTCGCTGATGTTGGTTTTATGAGTAGTGCAGCATTAGAAGGAGTTGAGGTTGTGTTCCACATGGCTGCTCCAAACTCTTCCATTAACAACTACCAACTTCATTATTCCGTCAATGTGCAAGGTGAACTCACTTTTGTGCATTTGGCTTGTTTGAAGTTTGAATCTGCTGAGATTTTTCCTATGTAAGGGACAAAGAATGTCATCGATGCTTGCGTGGATCAGAGGGTGAAGCGACTCATTTACACCAGCTCTCCCAGCGTTGTTTTCGATGGCGTTCATGGGATTCATAATGCTGACGAAACGATGCCTTATACACCTTCGGTATACACTTTAGCAACTCTTCTTTTACTGAATTCACAAAACCATACGTGAACTTGAGAAAGATAGATAATTAGTGTGAGCACTGGGGCTATATGTTTGTTATAAGACTAGCTCGGGGTGGTCCTAAGCGGAATTCTATTTGTTTGTTTCAGCCTAATGATCATTACTCAGCTACAAAAGCCGAGGGTGAGACATTGGTTATTAAAGCTAATGGGACTAATGGGCTCCTAACGTGTTGTATTACGCCCTAGTAGCATTTTTGGGCCCGGTGATAGACTGTGGTTGCCTACACTTGTTGATACTGCCAGAAAAGGGAAATCCAAGGTAGATGTTGTTTTTCCTTCTAATGCTATAGATTTTAGTGCCTTTATATTTAGCATCTTTTCTAAGGTAGGAAATGTCTCTATTACATATGCACATGACCAAAGGAAACTTCCATTCTATTAGGTAGCTTTATGATACCTCATTTGCCTTACGGTTGAGTCCAATGAAATAATTTAACCTTTAGCTTTTGACTGTTTTTTTTGAGCCTGTTGACTGATTTTATTGTGTAACCAATTGGGCTGACGCTCAAGGTTATTGTTTCTTTTGCATATTTGGGAGTCTATAGTAATATTGTACTTTGTGCTTTGTTTAAATACTTAATTCAGTACTAATGGAAATGTAATCTTGAATTTTTTTTATTAGCCTTAGGAACATCTTGAAGAATCAGAGGCTAACTCAGATTGAATTAAATCGGACTCAGACGGCTAACTAAAACATTTTTCTATAAAGCTTTGGGGGGAATATGCACACAAATGGTTGCAAAGCAATTAACTACTTAGCAGAAACTGCTTTCAGTCTTTCTTTGATTCTCTTATTTATATTACTCTTTTGACCAGTTCCTTATTGGCGATGGAAATAATGTTTATGATTTCACATATGTTGGAAATGTGGCTCATGCCCACATATGTGCTGAACGAGCTTTGGCTTCAGAAGAGCCAGTTTCAGAGAAAGCTGCTGGAGAGGTACCACTGAGATTCTGTTATTACTTTTATTTGTGTTTGTAAATGAAAATTAAATAGTAGACTTCCAGAGATGATGATGATTTGTTTGAAGGTTTAGGGTAGAGTCTCTTCATTTGGGAAAAAGAGGAAACATGAAAGAATGCTTGAGAAAGATTTGTCAGTGACCTTTGTTAAATTAAGAATGAATTATTGCATTTGCATTCTCATACTAAAGAGGTGGGAAAAATGATTGATTTGCAAGTTAGGAAACTTAGCAATTACTGTAGTATTTTCTTGCTAACGGATATTCGTTTTGTAGGTATATTTCTAACAAATATGGAGCCTATGAAATTTTGGGAGTTCGTTTCAGTGGTATTGGATGGTCTTGGATATGAAAGGTAGTTTATTACAACCGTCACTATAAGTTATTTCGTTCCTTTGTTATGTAACCTCGTTTTCTTTTTTCTTTTTATTTGAGATTCTCTCATAATGTAAAACCAAGGATTCAGACACCATATTTCAGGCATTTTTTAAACTTTTCTTTTATAATAATCTATAAAATAGCATGTGAATCTCAGACAATGGTATTTATAATCCTAGCCGGTAGTTCCAATCATAATCAACACCGGCTAACTATAGATATGGGAAAATTACTCTATGTAAAATCGAAGAACATAAACTATCGTGGACTGTAAACCACGCGGTGGTTGCCAGTGCTGGCGAACTGGGTGGCAGGCATGGAAGTCATAGGTTCTAACCCCAATGCACCTTGTGTTTAAAAACAAGACATGTATTTACTCTGGTCTCTTCCCTGGCCTTCACTTCATAGTAACAAGGAACGTTGATGCAGTTTTCAATTGTCAGATTATGAATAAACTTTTCTGTGCAAAGATAAACAGAAATTATGTATTATTGCTCTTCTGCCTAAACCAAAACAGAGCGAAGAATCCCTCACGACACGAAGATTATCATGAACCTCATTACCAATACCTTCACATTCCGCTCCTCACACGTGCTCCTCTCCCCTCTATGTTCTCACCTTTCTCTCTCTTCAAAACAGAGAAAGAAATCTTTCTATTATGATCCCAATCATTGGGTGTGTACAGGTGGACCCCACAAAATGGTTTCCAGTTCTTCCTTTCATATACCTTACTGAACTTCCCTCTTTGCCCTTTTTTCTTTAGAATTATATTTGTATCATACATCCTTTTTCTTTGTTTTTTTCATAGTATGAAAGATGCAAACTTGGTTGTCCTTGATATCAGTCCTCAGTTTTTTTGGGGGGGCTGTCAATTTGGGTTGTTGGCTTATGGGATTTTCTGTCTTGATGTCATGACAGTGGCGATTATTTTTAATCAGTTTATTAATATGGTGACTCATATGTGAGTTAGATATTGGACTCTATATTAATCAATTCTTCTAAGTTTGAAATTCTTGCATTTATATTTGAAATAAATAATATACTTAGGCCTTTTCATTCAGAAATAAACAATAACATTGTTGCACATTACAGTGGTATTTGCTATTTGAGGCATGTATCTTTTGCGGCGAGAATAAAGATACTGCTGCTGTTTTATCTTGCCCATTGCGCATTTGGTGGAATGGATATATAGGCTGCTTGGCCCATATGGGATGCAGGTGCCTCAGTTAACCCCTTCAAGGATTAGACTCGTGACCTGCAGCAGAACTTTCGATTGCTCAAAAGCAAAGGATCGCCTTGGCTATGCCCCCATCGTAACAATGCAGGTCTCTGATATTTATGAAAAGTAATAATATAATATAACCTCTATTATTGACTTTCATCTTGTTCATGCCTCTAAATAGAAAAATATGATGAGAAGTTGGCTAACTCCATGCCCCCAAAATCACTGATAATACCAAATTAGGATTATATAATATATTATGAAAACAAGTATGAGATGGTTTTTGTTATAATATTTACTCTATTTATCATGATTATATTATGTCCAGGATTATCCTATTTATCATGATTATATTGTGTTTAGGGTTACTTTATTTATCATGATTATATTGTGTCTAGGGTTACCTTATTTATCATGATTATATTGTGTCTAAGGTTATCCTAATTATCATGTACTCTTGTATCAATTTATTTTTATAAATAGAAGATTACGAGAGGGATCAATAAAGTCCTCTAGAATTATTTCTTTTCAATCTCAAGTGTTTCCTTAAATGAATGAGGTTTAGTGTACGAGTACATCTATTCCTATGAATATATACATAATCATACTTGTCTGGATGCTTCTCCCATATTAATGATGTTGTAATTTTTCTTGCAGGAGGGCCTGCTGAGGACAATTGAATCATATGCACACTTGAAGGCAGAAAATCAACCTAAAACTAAAAGAGAAGGTCCCTCAAAAGCTTCCAAATATCTTGGAAGTGGAAGAGGTGTGAATAATCAATTACATGTATCTAATTTCTTTGTTGGACAATCTGGACTTGCTTGTAAAGGAGAATACATCTGTTAATATAACCAATTGCCATATATAATAGAAACATGGTGGCTGGCTACTCTTCCGTTACTGTATCACATGGTTGATTGATTTTGATTATCTAATGAATCTTATTAGATTGTGATCAAGAGCATTTTCATAGACATTAAATACATAGCACTTATTTTCCACAGTTAAATTGTAATAGATGGAGCAGGAAGTTGTAGTTTATGCTCACAATCCCATCATCATGTAGTGCGAATTATCCATATGTTTTAACCTTGTTGGTTGTTTTTTTTTTTTAATTTGTTATAAAGCATGTGTGTGTTTGATGTGCTAGTTCTAAGAAGCCTGAAACATCAATTGAACTCAAAAGTTCAAACTTTGGTGTTAATATTTCTTACTTTATTATTAAAAAACTGACTTATTGTTATCTATTTGTGTGATCAATGCTATCAGATCTCTCCTACTTACTATGCAAACACTACAGTGTAACCAGTTTACGCTTGGAGTCATTTTACACTTTACATTTATTTATCTAAAAGTTTTGATTGAATTGCTAATTTGCAGTGGCTGACACATTGCTTTGGAAGGATAAAAAGCAAACTCTCATCACATTGTTTGTCTTGATTGCAATATACTTCAACTTCATTGCATCTGAAAATACCATCATTAGTGCTCTGACAAAAGTTCTATTGTTCACATCGATCTTTTTATTCATTCATGGCGTTCTACCTGCAAAAATGTAAGTACACTATGTACTGTTGGATATTGCAGTTTTCAATTTAACATTGTATGCCACTATTAACTTGTACAATGATGTATTAATATTATGATGACTATTAAGTTAATCCAGTTGTTAGAAAAGCATTGAAGTTTTCAATGTGAGAATAAACTTGTGCAGGTTGGGGTATACTGTTGAGAAAATGCCCAAATCATGGTTTCATTTGTCAGAAGATAGGTCACATAAATGTGCTCTCTCAGTGGCCTCGTCATGGAATATTGCTGTGAATGTTTTGAAGTCCCTTGCAGAAGGGAATGATTGGGTATTGTTATTAAAGGTATCTCTGCACTGCATTGCCTATATTTTCCTTGCCATTGCTTGCTATTGTGATTATGATGTATAGGATGCATTAATTATAAAAATCCTATCCCTTTAATATACTATTATTATTAATATAATAAAATATGCAATATTAATAATAAAAATATCATTTTCCTTGATTTATTTTATTTTTAAATTAAAAAGTAGTCATGCGGTATGTCAGTAAACTTGTCAGTGAATTTGTGAAACTCTATAGGTGAAACCCATATTTTTGGAACCTTCATGTTGAAATTTCCATGTAAAATTTTGCATGTAATGAAGTTTTCTGTTTACAAATGCAAAAATTTACCGAGTATAATTTTCTCAAGTATCAGAATCGCTGAAACATCTTTCCTTTGATGATCAATAGGTTGTTCTCTATCTGTTCATTCTTAGCTTCCTTGGAGCCTTTTCACTTCAGAACTTGTATACGATAGGTTCTCTCCCTCTCTCTATCTCTTTCGTGATTGCACACACACTTGTACATATGCATGTGGGAACATGACTTTGTCTGTGCCGAAAATATGCTATATGCTATTATGCTTGCCTGTATTTAATTAAATCTATTTCTGCTACCAGTAAAATTGTGACTGGAGGTCTATATATTAAATTCACAATTTGTGAAATTGATGAATTTTGAATCATGTTTGTTTACTTTCTAATGAAAAGAATCATTTGCAATCAGCATTCAGATGTCTGTACCCCTGTTCACTTATGGATACCTCATTGAATAATTTGACTTATTATTCCTGAGGTTGACAAGTTTCATGTTGCACCTCACTTATTTTCTATTGATGTGTCTTGTTTAAATCCAGAGCCCAGAAGAGACTAATACAAGTTTTACTTTTTCTTTTTTCTTATTTTTAGGTGGTGAATGATACTAATTTTTTTCTTGTGGTGGTTACAGGAGTTACATTTGCATTTATAGCTTTCTACGTATACGAACAGAAGGAGGAAGACATTGATGGCATGTTTATAAAAACACATTCTTTTAGTTGCAAATTGAAATCTGATCTCACCAAAAAGTTTCTTTCTTCAAAGAAGATTGATTGATAGGCTTTTTTCTTGAAAGTTGCACCTTAAATATTCTATTGAGTTCCATGTATGACTATAATTGTAATTTGAACACTTCTCAATATCAAAGATCAGATGAAGGATGATGTGCATGTTCATTTGGATTTTATGGAAATAAATATATTAATGGTTTCCAGCATTGGTATACTACGTCAAAAAAAAAACATTTCTACCAATGTCTTAAAAGTGTCAAAATACTGTGAAGAATACTCTTTAAATATTATTTTTATAATAATTATGAACACTAGTACTTAAATTTATTCAAATATAAAACAAATAACAATTGTTAATTGTTTTATCTGAATTGTAAAAAGAAAGTGCAATAATTAACAAATAAGTCAATTTCAACACAACAATTAACTTCAAAATAAAACATGTTCTTATTTTAGAAAGAGTTTAATTTTCACAAATAAACATATACGAGTAAAACTTGCATATTTGTAGTTTTTTTTATTGTATTCAAATGCTTATTAAACTAATTAATTAATCATATAAATTAAATCCTAACACCAATACTTTATTTAGGAAATACAGCTATTCATGCAAATGTTATATCTAATTGAAAATGCAATGTTTAATTTTGAATAAAATCTTTGAGGATAAAAGTAAACATATAATTTTGAAATTTCTATGATTTTAGCTTTTCTAGGATTGAATATGAAAAATAAATGGACAAAAATACCCTCTGTAATTTTTCAGAATGCAAAAAAAGACCCATTCCTATATTTATATTTTATTATTATTAGGAATATGAATGACATTGCTGTGAAAATAATATAAAATGACAATTTTCGTGTTAACTATTACTATTACGGGAAACTAAATAATTATATAATTATATATATATATATATATA